GGATCCAAAGGCACTTTCTTTGGTCCGTCATTGGGGAGGAGACAAAATTCCACTTAGTTTCGTGGTTTCAAGTTTGCGAGCCTGTTCAGAACGGAGGGTTGGGGTGAAGGATCTGCAACGTTTTAATAGGGCTCTTTTATGCAAGTGGTTGTGGCGTTTTGGTATGGAGAGAGATGCTTTTTGGCGTCAAGTGGTGACTGCCAAATATGGCAGTAATTGGGGGGGTTGGTGTACCAAGGAAGCGAGGGATTCTCATGGGGTAAGTGTATGGAAATCAATTCACCAAGGCTGACCTTCATTCTCGAAACACTTGTTTTACTTGGTGGGGGATGGATCTCGGGTGAAATTCTGGTATGATAGGTGGTGTGGCGATGTGCCATTGAAGTAGGCTTATCCGGAGCTTTTCTCTATCGTCGTGGACAGAAGTGCGTTAGTAGCTGATCTCGTGTCTCGCATTAATGGTATGCTTCACTGGGATGTGCTCTTCACTCGAAGTGTGTAGGATTGGGAGTGGAGTCCATCTCTTCTTTTATGGATCTCCTTTACTCTATTACGGTGCAAGGTAGAGGGGAAGATTTGATTAGTTGGGTTCTCCGCATTTTAAGGCTTTTACCGTTAAGGGTTGCTATTGTTACTTGAGCTCCCCATCTTCTAGAACTTTCCCTTGGAAGTGTGTGTGGAAATCCAAGGTCCCTCATCATGTGGCTTTCTTCTCTTGGACTGCAGCACTGGGGAAGATCTTGACTATGGATAACCTTCGCAAACGTGGCCTTATTTTGGTGGATTGGTGCTGTTTATGTGGGGAGAGTGGGGAGAGTTCTGACCATATTCTTTTGCACTGTAAGCTAGCTCGGGAATTGTGGGATTTGGTGTTTGCTTTGTTCGGGGTCCAATGGGTCATGCTGAGAACTGTCTTTGATCTTCTCTCATGTTGGCATGGGCCTAGTGGAAGTAGTAGGACTTCCTTTGTATGGAGGGTTCCCCACTGTGTTTTTTGGTATATTTGGAGCGAAAGAAATGCTCGACATTTCGAGGATATTGAGACCTCCATTCTGGAGTTGAAGAACAGCTTCTTTTATTTATTGTTTGAGTGGGTTAAGCGTTTGGGTTTTCTTTCCATCAGCTATGTTGTAGACTTGTTGCACCATTGTACTCTTAGATCCCTTTGTCATTTTGTATACTTCTAGTATATTGGGACTTTTTTTATATAAAAGTTTCTTTACTTATCAAAAAATAAAAAAAATGTTGTTTGTAACCAACATACAAATAAGTCGTCTTACAGAATGTCTAGTGAGCTTTGTATTTGGCCAAAAGATATTCTAAAGCTCATCTTCTCCAAGTTATCTTGAGGTGTATGGTAACATATTTCGAGAAAAGTCCACTATGTCAAAAGCTAAGATCTTCAAAACCACATTAGCTGTTTAACAATAGTAGAGGCACGCCAACTTATATTTTAAGAGCTTACTCTTCTAGTTTGAGAAAATAAATTATCATATTCCCCAATTTGTTGTCAATTTCATAATTACTCTTCTTACAAAACAATTAGATCCAATGCATCAGTTGTGAAAATACCCATCCTAAACTCCCACACAAAGCATGTTGCATGTTTCATCCACGTGCGCGCACACGCATACACAGATTATTATGATGGTGGCACATCAACGGATGGGTGTCATGCATCTTTCTTGTTGCAAAGGGTGATTTTAGAGAGAACCCTTCTTTCTTTTATAATTTTTTAGAAGACCAACCAGTGTGATGAAGGGGTTGATTATGCAATTATGTCCTATTATCAATTATTATTTGCTATAATATATTTTGACAAATGTTTAGGTATCAGCAGTTGATCAACATTACATCAAATACAAACTTCCAAGTACATTCTACATACACAGAGTCATATTTGCTACAATCTATGTATGCATATCTTTTCAATTCAATGAAATGACTTTTTACAGACACGTGCAGTGAACTGTCCTTCAGCATAAGTCATCAATATTGAATGTAATTCTAATAAAAAAAATCGTGAACATGGCATCAATTGCCATATTGCTTTTAAGAGAGTATCTTCCTAGTCTGATATAAAATCCTTTTACCAGATCCACGTAGCATCAAATAAACCAACCCACCCTTTGGGGCCATTCGAGAGAGAGAGAGAGAGAGGGAGAGGTTAATCCACCAATGGAACAGATTTATTGAGTATTCCTAGTTTATCTATGACAAGAAAATACTCCAAGAGTGGATCGAGCTTATCTATATGTTCTAGGAAATCCTTGAGTTCATTTAAAATATTTTTCACTGAGGAAAGCCATTCTCAAAAAAGAGAATTTTTAACTTGCAAGGGTTTTCTAGGCCTAGTGAATCTTGCCATTACCACAAATATTAGATAACTAAATCGCATTTGAACATGCTCACACAAAGGTAGCATATCAAATGTACATAGAAGCTTTATCCAGCGCATTAGCATCTCGATCAGCCAAAGAATTTCCATTCGGTCAATTGGAAACTAAATCAAAAACAAATCAAGCTATGTTCTTTTAAATCGTAAAATGAAACATCAAGTGGTTAAAAAGAGAGAGAGAGAGAGAGAGACAAAAAGCAAATACGTGGATAAACATACCGGGCAAGATAAGTACGTCCACTTCAAAACGCAAGAACATTGAAATGAATGGTCACACAGTGTACTCTGTATTCCACTAGTATCGTAGTCCAATCTCTCTGATATTTTTAACAAAATGTTCACATCATTACCAGTGATCTTCTCAGTGTATATAAATGAAAAGGTAGTTAAATATGTCTTGAGGATGTCGGGGGGGGGGGGGAGATGAAGACGTGCAGAGGCAACGACACTTATTCATACAGAAAATGGGCATGTGCTAGCAAGGTAGACTGACCAAGACAAACCGGACAAGTGGGCAATTCAGCAAATTCAGGCGGAGGAGTAGTGGCAATTTCTGCTGACATAGTATACATAACTGATTGAGCAAAATACACATGGCAAACCTCAACCTGAAAATTCAATCAAATCATTAAACTAAAATTTGAAAGCAAATGAATGCATGTTTGGAGTAAAAAGATCAGACAGTACCTCAGACGGCTTGAATTTTTTGCCATTAAAATTTAAATAAAATCCATCAGCAGAAAGCTGATTTTCCAACCTGATCAACACACTGTACCTATCCTCCACTCCATCATTTCTGTTCAGATGCACAGTTCCAGATAGAAGAAAAAAGGAACTAAGTAAGCAAATATTCAAAAGTGGAGAATAATCATAAACTTCAAAAAGAAGGAAGAAAGAACATGTTTATATTGCAGTGCCCAAGAGCCAAGAAAAAACAAAACAAAAATAAAAAACACTCTTCATTTCCATCAAGAAAGAGTTAAGTTCTTCCTCACATAATTCCAGTATATTAAGGAAGTGAGGAGTTGTTTACGCAGTTATATGCTCAACTTTTTAATCATAATATTGAATTTTCCCACTTGTTCCTCATTTCCATTATGTGCTAACACAACCTTGAGAATTGGCAAGATTTATATCCAAAAATCACTTTCCATTAAGGAGCACCAACAATTTGTCAAAACTTGCAAATTAACCTTCAATCCTTTATAGAGCCCTGGGCTTATCATGTTTTAGGATTGAACCCTTATTGCTCCTACTTACATGAGTCTCCATGGACTCACAATTCAAGTGATTGTATACATTTCCCATGACTAATAAATAGTCCTCTATTATTACTTACATGATTATCCGAGGAGAGAAAAGTGAAGATCAGCGCAACTCAAGGTTAGAAAAATTTTCTCCTTCCAAAATACAAAAGTTATCACCCGATAAGATTAGAATGCGAATATTATCATTCAAAAAACTAGGAACTTGTGAATTAATAGTTTTGAGATGGAATGCAAATAGATAAACAAAGACGGTAGCAAAAAACAAGAAATTTACAATGCCTGAATGAGAGCAGGAGCAGCATGTCAAGCATTCTCATAAAAAAGGGAAAATGATATTCATATTCAAAAAACTACGAACCACTACATAAGAAAAATGCATAAATCAACGCAACGAATACTATTTTTCCATTCAATTAACCAATCTAACTTCCAACCTTCGAAGGCAGAGGTAGTAAAAGTAAGCATAGTGAATTTAAGAAGTTTTTAGTAATACCATATGCAAAGACTTCCACAACTGTGGACCTATGATATTTCTCAATTTGAACTGTGATTGGAGTTACCACTTTTATTGTAATAAGATCATTAAAATAACTAGTTTTTTGTAGGACTGTATAACTATCTTATAAATTAGTTGCTAAATACACGCTTCTACATCATATAAATCTAATTATTGTCTTTCCTTCCACATGCTCACATATGCAGTGAAGAATTTGAAATAAAGGTACATGAAGAAGAGGATTTTCAAGAAGTGAGGGAGGTAGGAGGATTCACAGAAGAGGAGGAAGTCATCTGGGAATAAATAGTTGGGCACGGCCACAACGTAAAGTACAGTTGAGCGGGCACTTGGATTGGCCAAGGAGATTCCAGTGGAGGTGTGTGAAAGTTTCCAAAATACGTGGATGACGCCTCTGAGTTCTTCCGGCTTCAAATTGTTAGGGTTCTTCGGGGCCCCAGAGGCGCCGGTGGTCTGAAGGGGTTGGGGAAAGTCAACAGTGTGGATTTTGAGGGTAACCATCTCTCTTCGATCTTGAGAGGAAAGCGGAAATTGTTGTTTGCCTAAATCAAAGGTTTTTCTAAGTCTCGAGATATTTTTGGTCTATTTTCTCTTCAATCTTGAGAGGAAAGCGGAAATTGTTGTTTGCCTAAATCAAAGGTTTTTCTAAGTCTCGAGATATTTTTGGTCTATTTAGAACAGATTCATTTTTTAAAAAATTATAAGTTGGGTAACAAATTTCATTGGCCAATTCATAAATGTTGAGGGTTGGATAATGGTTTTAGATGGAATGCTCAAACTATTATTTTTTATCAACTCAAATCATATTGAAGTCAAGTGACCAGCATGAATCACACAAAAATGAAAAGGAGATCCCAAGGGGTTGTACAGTATGTGTAGTTGAACTTGGGAAATTCAAGGAGATAGTATTCACAACTAGAGATTCAAACCGACGTTGAGAAAATTTGACTGATGTTATCTAAACTTATTAAATGAAAATTGAATTGAAATGCTCTTCCAAAACTATTAAAATGCAAGAAAATAATAGTATTGCCAACAAGAGCGATTTCGACAAAAATTGAGATTAACCGACAGTTCATCTCTATCTTTGTTAACTGAAAAGATCGATTTATAAGATTCCTCAAAATACCAAAAATAGTTCTCTATAATTACGTACTTCATTATGTAAGGAGCAACCAATCAAGGTCCAAGCACGAAGGTTAAGATAATTTTCTCCTTCCAGGGGAAAAGAACACCCCATAACAATAGAGTGTGAATATTGTCATTCAAAATACAAGGAACTTGCATTCCCTTTATATTAGAGTTTGTGATTGAGGGGGAATGCGAAAAGGTAAATAAAAACCATAGCCAAAAGCAAAGGAAGAGAGCAGAGGCAACAAGGTAATTAGGCGAGTATCCTCAAAAAAGGAAGGACAACAATATTCATATTCCAAAAACTAGGAACTAATGTATAAGAAAAATGCCTAAATCAATGCAATGGAGACTACTTTTACATTGAATTAACCAATGTAAATTAATTTCTAAATTCAACCTTCGAAGGCACAGGTAGTAAAAGTACCATGAATTTATGAAAGTCCTAGTAATACCAAATTCAAAGACTTCCATACCTGTGGGCCTGTGATATTTCTCTGATATTTATATTTGATTTACCACTTTATTCATTAAATGCTTAAGATAACCATTTACGTGTAGGCTAAATCATTATCTCATAAATTAGTTGCAGTTTATGACCTGTCATATTATTTTTAAAGATATTTCAAATGCAACAGATGGAAACTTATTAGAAATATTATATGAAGATTTTCCAAGTTTAGAATATTATTTAGGAAAAGTAATTAGGATTTATTTGAATAGATTTTCAATTATTTTTTTTCTTAAGACTTAATTATTTCCTCTCTCTCTCTCTTCTATTCACTTCTCATCTTAATCTTCTCCCCTTCCTTCTATAATTTCCCCCTTTCTCCTTCTTTCCTTTCCTCTTCTTCCACAAGTCTTGTTCTAGTTCGATTGTGTTCTACATCAGCAACTTTGAGCTCCATCATAAATATTACAACTAAAGATGCTTCCACAATTCCTAACGTACAACAATATATCGAAACCTCACACGAAGTAAAGAATACACTTGCATTGCATGCATGAACAAGTTAAGAATATGAATTGCTGACTAAAATCGGCATTTGCAGTTGCTCTGTAGAATAGGTAGAGGAAGGCTGAGGTGCCTTTTTAATAAAAATGCTTCATAAGTCAAAGTAAGACGAACCATGAAGACTAAATTAGTTGTCCATTTCAATAGCACATTCATAGAGTAAAATGAATAAGAACGTCCATGAAGGTAGTCTTTATCTTTTTTCTCAAGAAAGCATCAAATGAATGGTAGAGGCTGTACAGATTGAAACAATGCTTTTTAAATCCAATCAAATGCTAATATTTATGAATAGAAACAGCAATGCCTCAAATTATATAACAACGCCCATAAAACTCAAAGCAATTCCAAATTTTGGAAATAATATCCAACCTCCATTGAGAAAAAACAGATTCTGCCTTCTGCCTTATTTACATTCGTTAATTGCATAGCAATCCACAATACATCATTTACACTCCAAATAGCATTATTTTAACTTAACAGCTAAATGCAACAATTCTTATATATGCATACCACGTGGAAAAGAATATTTTGACGTGATATATCTACCTAGCCACATAATTCATACTGAAATTACGACTACCAGAAATACATTTCCAGCTTATTTGCACTAGTCATTTAAGATTTAGGGTTTAGACATACTATTTCAGCGGGTCCATCACGATGCAGCGTCATGAATTCATTACGCCCATGTAAATACGCACTTCTGCGTCGAATAAATCCAATTACTAACTTATTCCACATATGTATACTCGCACACAGGATGTAAAGTGGAGAATTTGAAATAAAGGTACCTGATGAAGAGGATTTCAGTGAAGTTCGGGAGGTAGGACACACAGAAGAGGAGGAAGTCATCTGGGGAGAAATA